ATTTAAATCGAAATGTAAAATATATGATGTACAAAATTACTAGCATTGGCCTTAATACTTAAAATTTTGAAAATAATATTTGCCTGTAAAACCTTTGTTGTTGCCTAGAGATATTTCGCATTTACGCAGAAGATGAACTTTATATAATTAAATACAATTTCGATGAATAATTTATAATTATTTTTACAACATAAGCATTGTCATAATTTGCAACAAATGCTGATGCATTTAAATTTTGCATTAGCCACCATTTAACAATTCTATTTGATTCAAGGGCAAGAACATCTGCATTAAGTGTTGAGAAAATGCAAATATTGTATTTTAGTACGATATTTATAATATATGCAAATTAATATATATAGGCATATATAAGCGTGTATGGATATGTTCATACACTGTTTTTATCAGTACAAAGTATATTGTTTACAAGTTTGTTACGCAATACTTATATATACTGTAATGTCACGATCATACTTATTAGTGATAAGCAAGGTTAATTATGTATATATATATATATATATATATATATATATATATGTGTGTGTGTGTGTATATAATTAACTAATAAACAACTAAACTTAAAAATAAATCAATATGAGTCAATCATATACTTTTATTATCCATTACCTAATTTCTTATTTATATATTTTTCAACAATGCTCGATTGTTCCTCAAATTAGCATATTGACAAAAGTAAATATACTTTTGTAAGTTCTGAGGCTTGGGGCTTACAATTGCTAATAGTAGTAAATTATCGCTCGAAAAAAATTTGGTACTGTGCAGAAAAACAGTTTCTTGAAACCTATACTTACAACAAATATAAAGACCCATTTGTACTTATAATGATATAATATAATTATCACAATAATTATATCCGTATCATCAATATAGTTCAATTTACCTGTGTTTATAATTTACTATTGTTTTTAGCATTCTTTTCCATTTAACAACAATCTTCTTTCCGCCCAATATATGAGTAATGTTCAAAATTGTAAATATCTGGTAAAATTCCATCGCTTTGTTGGAAATCCATTCAATTCAATTCGTATTTATACAAATCGATAAATAGTAGAGGAGAGGAGTTTTAAAAAACTATTCTTGGAGTTTATACTAAAATTTGGACATAAGTAGGATATAATATATACTTGTTTATATTAATTAATTAATACTATTAAATTAAATATAAATGAGGTTCTATATCTAATTAAACGGGACAATAATATCTGTTGCACTCAAATTGAACTTATAGTTCGACCCTGTTTATGCATGTAAATTATGCTTCCGACTTTTGGCCCATTCGACATTGACAATTGAAGATATATTATATATATATATATATATATATATATATATAAGATATTTATTGTTTTAATCTATCGATTCTTTTGTGTTTATTGCATGTAAATTAAATATAGAATAATAAACAATGACTTTTTCAAGTAAAAAAAGATGTACAAGATAGAGGTTCAAAGTTATTACGTACCATAATACGTCCAACAAATATTGGATTAAATTAAATTAAAAAAAATATTCGTTCGAAACCAATTGATTATATTTTTGAAATACCTACCTTTTAATATATAAATCGCCTTTATAGATGATTCAATAAAAAAAATTTGAAAAACTTATATTGTGTACGTACGGGTACTATTGTAGACGATTGATTTTGAACACTTTTCGGACATTTTCAAGTTTCAAAGAAATTGGCCTAAGAGAATAGACTAAATATGTAAAGTAAATGTATAAATTGAATTTACAATATACGCATCTTCTAAGATCTTTTATACATATCAATAATTTTGTATCAACATTTTGTATTTATGAAACCACAACGAAGTTAGTTGTTGTATTTGGTTTTTTTTTATACTGTGAAGTTAGATGTGGACGTTAGTTACATTTTAAAAAGCTAAACCAAATAAAACTATTAAAAACTCGCATTTTAATAAATTTAGCATATATAAACAAATTCAATTACAAATAAAAATTACAAACAAATCCAAATGTTTTAAGATAAACAATGCTAATTTCAAAACAACAGATAAAAAACATTGAATTCCTTTCCGTTGAAGTACAATGAAGTTGATGACGATGACAACTTACCTGTAACGTTTTTAAATATATTTTTGAATTTGCATATTTTCAATTAATATATACATATTATATAATTTTGTTTGAAATATATAATAATGCAAGCCACCAATTTAAAATTTTACACGTGAACTAACAATAAGCGAATACCTTCTAGCCAAAGCAGGGGTATTTCTTTATTTATAATTTCTCTCTAATATATTGATTATTGATTAATATAATTTATAAATTAATGTAACATGCACAAGTTACAACTATGCTCAATAATATATAATTCAGAATGCATTATTACTACAAGTTGTACAAACTGTAATAATAATGTGTAGATGTAAATTTACATAATAAATGCTCTGAACTTCAAAAAATTTAGAAAAAATATATAACTTATAATAAATTGTAATAATATTCACCTAATAGGTGTAATAAATACATGCAAATATAATAATAGGATTATAACAGAAAAACCTACTAATAATGATATTAAACTGAAAAATTCATTTAAAATACATAAATTTGTTAAATGTGGCGCAAACTGCAAAGGATAAAAATAGAACTAGGTTTTGTATTATATTAAAATACATACAATAAAGCAATAAACATATAGAAACAGTCTTGATTTAATTACTTTTGGGTACCATATGCGTTTCTTCGGTTAAACGATGATATTTTCGTAACAAAACCACGAAGGAAGACATTTATTTCGCAAGACTGGCCACGATTTTTGCTTCCAAACGAAACATTTCATTTCAGTTCAAATCGAAATGATGTTCTGACGAGTGGTCTGTGCCAAAAATGATGTGGAATAGCTAAAATAATATGAAATGAACTTGGAAAAGTGATACTTGTGCAAAAATTGATATATTCGTGGGTAATAGAGAGTTTTAGTTTAAATAAATGCACGTCATGTAAATAAAATATATAGAACTATGAATAGAATTTGAGTGTTATAGACTTATATGTAAAGTCCTGTTTTTAAGAATTCAAAGTATATAAACTGTTTTTAAATGATAAAAAGCGCAAAAAAACAAATGTTATTAGATTGCATAAATATCCTCATAAATATCCTCAAACACAGTTTTTACTACTGTTTAGTTATTTAGTTTTTTTATACTGTGTGAAAACTTTCATTTTTATTATTTCTATTCTTTGTGAAAAAACTTGATACACTTGAACGTTGTACAAAACCATTTGTAAAATATAAACTCGCCTTTTAAATTTAAATCAAAGAAATGTTAAAAAGTGATAACTTTAATCTATATATATATATATATATATATATATATATATAATTTTAGAACTCTCTGTTATATATGCTTTAGCTTTGGCAAATGTGGATTTATATTTATAGACTTTGAAATCCAAATCATGTCCTATATATAATATTAAGTTGAATAATTTACGTAAAGTGTTCCATCCATCACGCAACACATAAAAATAATATTTATTAATCATTTGTATAATTTTAACAATTTAAAATAGAGTTTAAATATTACATTCCAAAATTACAGCATCGTACAGGCGGAGTTCTGGCAATAACTACCGAAGAAATTTTAACAGTCATGACAATTTTATTATTATTATTATTATTATATATATATATATATATATATATATATATATATACATTTAATTCATAACTTCATGTTTTGTATAAAATATCACAAGTAATTTCATAAGTGAAATCTTTGTCCAAACATATTTCATAAACAAAGTCAACAAAGTTATTTCAAGAAATGTCGCATAATAATGTATTAACACTTTGAATTAGCGTGTAGACGACATGCAAACTTATTACACACACTTATATATATATATATATATATATATATATATATATATATATATAAATTATTTCAATTTAATGCTTACCTATTTTCTTATTCAGGGTGCCCAGATGAAAGGGTGACAACCCCGTGTCCGCCGTCTCCGCCCCCGATTCCGCTGCAGACTTATCTTTGGGAGGACGTTAGAAGGGAACGAAAAAAAGGGGGCTACCCTGGACGCACTTCGTTAAGAGGCCTTTCGATCCTGATGCTCCACAGGTAAAATATTAAAACATTTTTAAACAAAAATATGTTATATGACTTACACTCACTCGATGGGAAAATTCTGGTATTCTATGATATGATTATTCTTTTCCCAGGAAATTTTGGAGTACGACCGGTCCCCAGGCAGTAAGCAGTAAACGTAAATACGGAAGCCTAGATGTTCAGGAACTAGAAGAGTCTCCGAGTGTCACTAGAAGAAGAAGAGCGGCATCCGCTGGAGAGTCTTTGGGAAACGAAACCAGACTTAACGGTGATACAAACACAGGAGTAAATCAGTATCTATAGAAGAACAAATACCGAGTACCAGTAATGCATCGCCTAAAAGCATTTTAAAAAATCGCCCAAAAAAAATTGAACTACCTGCTGCATTGAAAAGGGGCGCTGATAGAGACTCGCCAAAGGATTCCGAATTGTCACCCGTTCGTGGATAAGTTAAAGACTATAGCGGACAAGAATATTTTGAAGTCTCCAAGAGCTATGAAAAAGTTATTGAGACCAAGTCCCAAAAACAGCAAGAAACATGCGGATCCCCTGCAGGAGATTGTCACTCTGGACGAATCGCCTTCTGCAGAAAGGAGAAAAACGTGAGACGGAGAAAATATTTGAAAAGTGTTCGCCCAAAAGAAAGGATAGCAAAAAGTTCAAGGATCACATATACGAAAGTATAGAGGACTTACCAAATAAAAGTCTAACAGAATCAGTTTCTGAGAAAGAACTGAACGCCATCGCCAAATCTTTATCGGAAGCCGAAGACATCGGCAGAGTCACCGACGATCTCATAGCCCGTGACAGCTTGACTCGATCCTTAGATCAGTACCTCAAGGAAGAGCTTATGAGCGCCGAAGACCAGGCCATGATCGACTCCAAGAACGAAATCTTGCAAGACATCCTGAAAAGAATAGCTGATGAGAACCAAGCACAAGCACCTTTGTCCAAAATGGATTCCGAGGAGGAAGAAAAAGCCAAACTGGTCAAGCAAATGCCAATACCTGAAAAGGATGAGGAAATGGAAAATTTAGACGGCGATAAATGTCTAGTCATTGATATTACGGAAACTGTAGAAGAAGAAATTGTTGATTTTATTGTAATGCCAGATGAGGATCAGGACATTGGTGAACTTTCAGAAAAAGGCGAGGTGTTCGATTCCGGTAAAGGTGAAGAAGAGAAGAAGAAAGTTTCTCAGGATAAAGAGTCGCTCTCGGATAGCGGGGAGAAAGATGAGCTGTTGGATGCCAAAAGCCGTAGATCAAAATTCAGGTCAGTAGAAAAAATATTCAAAAATACAAACGAAAGTGTTTACATAAGTTCGTTCATGACTTGAAATTTTATTATAAATCTTATTAATAAAATAAAATAGATATAATAAATTTATCACATCTGAATTACGCGTCTGCAGTATAAACGATGCGCTTTGTAAAACGCATATGAACATTTCTGTGGATTTTTATAAAAATATGCCAAATTTTGTTTATAAAACTTATTGAGTTTAGTTTTATAATAGACATATTATGGAATAGCATATTTAAAGTGCAAGTATATATATATATATATATATATGTATATATATGTTTAATTTGAGTTTAATATTCGGGCGTAACATCAATAAAAGTATTTTTATTGATGTTACGCCCGAATATTAAACTCAAATTAAACATATATATCAACATCAAATTCAAGACTATTCAAATATATATATATATATATATATATATATATAATATATATAATCGAATATAAATTTTCATAATTTCGCTCAGAATATAAAAGAGTTTTGTGATATTTATTGATCGTAATATATACAAAGATATTGAGAAATGTAATATCAAAATAACAAGATTACGTAGTACAAACGGTGCATATTGTGTAATTTTTAAAAATGTATATAACTATATTAATAATTACTATATAGCTAACAATTTCATTCTATTAATAAATAATCACCAATTTAATCAAAACGATGGCAACCGACATTTTCTTTGTTTATTACGAAGAACTTGTCATACATTGAAACTATCAATTTTGTATATCCTTGGCATAAGTACCTGTAGTAATAATAGATTTCCAGTTAGTGCAAAATATGTTCCTGTGTGGATATAAATACATAGGCATTAACGCATACATCTGAATAGTCTGAGGCTCCATCAAAACAAATATAAACCGTCTACATAATATTATTGGCATCGAAAGACTAGATATGTTATTTTGGTCGCAAGCCGGTCTGTCCTGCGCCTTTCGACAAATCTTTCGCAGTGCACGGCTGACGATCGTGTCACCTAGTAAATTAGTAATATTTTTAAGTTATTTTTGTTAATATCGAACGAAAAGGTTTCGAAAGACATACGATCGGTTTTTGTAAAATTATATATAAATTACAAGTTCTGGTGTCACTAGATACAAATTCAATATGTCCGCAAATCGTGCAAACGCGTCGCCCTTCGTCTTGTTTACATAATACATGTCCGACAAAATTATATTTTGTAAAATGTTTCAAACGTTCTCGTAATTGTGCAGATTTTATTTTTAAATATAACGCTCCACCAATATTTGAAGTGAAAAAGAAATTTTGTTCACCAGCGTATTTTTTTGTTATGTTGGTTGCGTGATTGTGCAGTGATGCGTGAAAATTTTTGCTGTGTACCTATATAGAAAAAAATAACTATGCTCAAATGTATTATATAATACAAGGTTAAGTGAAATTGAATCCAAAATGTATAAATTAATTACAAAAGTGTAGTTCTACAAAATGAGTGCACGTTGGAGATCAGCCTCTCTCGGTTCCCAACCGATTCAAAGACCAAAAGAGAGATCCCGGGCAGGAAGTGCAGCTCCAGTAACACCAGAAGTAAGATGTGCCTGCCAATTTTTTCAAAGTGATTCTTTACTTCCCGATAGAATTAATCCCGTAGGCTCCAGATCATCTTCTAGAGCTGACAAATCCGTAGAATATTACAAATCAGATTACAATCAAGATGTATCAATGGACATGGATGTTGACACGATGGGAACTCCTCTACAAAAACAAGTACTGTCGACAGAGTCATCTTTGCGTGATTTTATTAAAAAATTAGAAGAAAAATCTGGTGATGTAACTGATGATAAAGTGTATGACTTGGATCAAGAATTGTCTGTGCCGGAGATACAAATAGAATTCGATAACAGATCTGAGTCCAAACTACGTTTTGATGAATTTATTCAGCAAAAATTAAAACAAGAAGAAGCTAAAAAATCGTCTGAAAAACCACCTCAACTCTTCGTGTCACGACTAAGAGATCGCTCCAAAGACGTTTACATCCCTCCACAAAGATCGAGCACCGAGGAGAGTTTCATCGATGACTTAGACTATTTGGATGAGCCAAAACTGAAACGAAAAACACAATCCTTCAGAACTTTTTTCCAAAAATCACCCAAAGATAGACCAACATCGAAATCACTAAAACATCGTCCCAGGTCTCGAAACAGACGACAGAGAAAACAGTCATTTAAATCTTGGCTTCAAAAATCGGCAGACCATGAGGAAGGTCCCAAAGAACAAAATATTAAAGAAAAAAGAAAACGTTCCTCTTCAATCACAAAATGGTTGCAAAAAACTGAAAAGAAGGCATACGATTTAGATAAGCCTCTTGATCAAACTAATCAGTTGGAAAATATTGATCAAACGAAGAACAAGAATACCTCTTGGTTTAACAAAAATCCAGAAAATCAAAAGGATACTTTTGAAGATCAAATAGAAAATACTGATGAAACCAGGAGCAGAAAAACATCTTGGTTTAGCAAAAATAAGGAGCCAGGTGATCACAAAAATATAGTTGATGACCAAATGGAGACTACTGATAGTAACAAGAGTAGAAAAACGTCTTGGTTTGGTAGAAATAAAGACCCAGACAATCAAAAAAATATCATTGAAAACAAAATAGAAAATACTGATGAATTAAAAAATAATAAAACATCTTGGTTTAATAAAAATAAAGATCAAAATCAAAAGAATGCGGTTGAAGATCAAGCAAAAAATAATGATGAAACAAGGACTGGGAAAACTTCTTGGTTCAATAAACATAAAGATCCAGAACCTCAAGCAATTACTAATGAGGATCATCTAAATGCGACATCAGATAATGATATAAATAAAACAACATTATTTCAAAATTTGTCCTTCAAAAAGGAACAACCGGAATCAAAACACATGGTGGAAAATAATATAATACGAACAATTCCTCAAATAAATATAACCGATGATGGTGATAAACGTATTGATACCAAGAAAACTGGCACATTCAAAAACTTGTTTCATAAGAAAGAAATACATGATACTGGTGTTGGCGCAGAAGTAATATCATTTGATGCTAAATCAGAAGATACGAAATCAGCATCTATAAAAAGGATATTCGCCATAAGCAAAGATTCTGCAGATAAAACTTCAGATCCTAATGTAGCCGCAAACCTGCATACTAATAAACCAGTGAATTTCAAAAGGATTTTCTCTAAAACCAAAGATTCCATAAGTACAGATAAAAAAATATCAGATAAGGATACAGAGATTTCAAAACCATCTCAATTTACGTCCTGGTTTCTCAGGAAAGATGAAATCCAGATGATATCTGACAATGCTGAAAACAACAATCCTGAGGCATCTTCAACTATAAATACTGATGATAACAAAAACAGCGAGGAAAAACTAAATGCATTTAAAAAGTGGTTTAATAAAAAGCAAGAACCCGCTAATGATTTTACCAACGATGAAGAACCTACTAAGAACGTAACAGAAGAACCGATTACAAATAACGATCCAGAGAATACAAAATTCAAAACCTTGTTCCACAAACCAAGTCTTATCTTAGATTCGGCGCCTGCTTTATCTCAACCGGGATTCAATTCAGAGGAGTTGAATAAAATCCAAGATGTAAAACCAGTCCTCACAAGGCCCCAATCCTTGGAACGTCCTGGAACCAGACAGTATTCTCAGCACCGATCCAGGGCCGATGACAGGCCCGTACACAAACTTATGGAGCACTACGACAGACCTGAAATCAGGAGAGCCGTTATGGTATCTCCCAAAAGGCAAATTCCGGCACCGGCTGCTCCTATTTATATTTCCGGCGATGGAAATGATGAATACGAAGCAAACGCTCGGTAAAAAAAAATGAAATAAAAATTACTTATTGTAATATAAATAAAATATTGGGGTGATTTGAACAAAATTAAATAATCATCAATATGATCAATATCATAATGTCCTAGGGTAACTCGGTATTATAAAGTCGTTGAATAAAGATTCTGAGCGTTTTAAAAGTGTATTTAATCCTTTTAGAGTTTTGTTGCATAGATCTTGAGCCATTTTAATGGTATAACGAATAAACTCGTTTTTACTACAACAAAGTTTAGCACGGCCTACTGACCTTAGATCAATACCGTCAACTCCAAAAACATATTTGAAAACTGCAATAAAACATAGATATATTTGTTAACTAATAAGCAAGAATTGTAAATAATTTGACAAAATTAAAAATTGTAATTAATAGTCAGTTTATTAATTAATTAATAAACTGACCTAGATCACTTTGATCTACTCATAAATACAATAAAGGATAAATAGTACTGCACACTTCAAATAACATTAATAATATTAGTGTCATTAAGATATGAATCGTTTAGTAACCAGTTTTGAATTTTTTTTTATTTTGTGCTTCATTGTGGATGAATGAAGAAGCATTACTCTTAAAAACTATTCTATTTTATACTAACACCTAACACATTTATATCTTTATCAATTTTATTAATTTTTAGTAAATAACAAATATAAAGACTTTTAAATTGCTTTACCCTGATATTAATTTTTCGAATAATATATTTTATTTTGTGTTTACAGCGATCACGAATATGAATCCATCGGCGACCCAGACTCGGAAGCCGGCCCAAAACCGACGTCAGCGGAGTCTAATCAGAATCAAATCGAGCATGAGACTTCGAGCTCGGTCCCATTTCAAGAACCTTCACACCTTGATGAACACATTGAATCCGATAGAGAGTTGACCGTGGCAGAAATGCAACAACAAATAGAGGATAAGTATTTCAAAAAAGTTGATGACACGTTAGTCATGCCCACGACGCAAGCTGATGCGCCCGAAATGCTAGAAGAAGATGAAGCAAAGGCTCCGACGAGGACAGTCGGTGAAAGGAGTAGAGACATGCAGCGTAGGTTTAAAAATCAAGCAGGCAAATTGAAAACTAAATTCAAAGGCATGAAAAAACCCACGTTTACTATGCCGGCACGTAAGAAACCTAGAATTAGCGATGAAACGACAACAGAATCATCCGACCAACCCAAACCAAAATTATCACCAATGCGAAAATTAACGATGCCCGATTTTAAAATGCCAGATCGCCCTAAAATTTCGATGCCAGACTTTAAGATGCCGGAACGTCCAAAGATTTCGATGCCACAGTTCAAAATGCCAGATAAATCCAGATTTAAAATGCCCGAAAGACCACACATGCCGGACTTTAAGATGCCGGATAGACCTAAGATGCCCGATTTTAAAATGCCAGATTTTAAAATGCCCGAGATGCCCGATTTTAAATTACCGAACTTGAAAAGACACAACTCGATGAAAGAACCCCCGACAAGCAGCGAGTCTACAGCAGAGGACCCGAAAAAACGTATAGTGTTTGATTTTAAAACGTATCCGAGAATTTTCACAAAGAAACAACGCGATCAGGAATACCACACATCATCCCCAAAAGAAGAGAGAGTCATTGAAAGTTCCACTGTTCCCAGAGCTGCGGCCAGGAAAAAAGGCCCTGTGGGGGCGCGTTGGGTCAATCGCTTCACCGATATTAAATTTGTCGATGACGGCGACACGAAACGCGGAGACTTCGAGGACCGCCTTCATCGCTTGGACGAAGACTACAAACAGATGCAGCAGGAACAAGAATTCGATGATATTCATCCAGATTCGTTCAACGAATCCAGTGAAGATTACTCCGGGCACCAGAATCGTTACTGGGCCGACGAAGTGGACAGCACCAGGCCTGAATTTAATTACGGTGTTAAAGTTGATGGACAAGAAACACCTTCGTCAAATATGGAAGAGCGTGGATCGTCCGGGGAGTCGTACGAGAAGCGTAGAGTAGGCGTGCTGGAAGAAATAGATGCCGATGAGTTTTTTTTGAGGCAACGAGGAATTTCGCAAGATGATATCGAAGTCGGTAAGTATCTCAGCTCGGAAATAAGAGATGCGTTTAAGACTCCAGTCAACGCTTTGGAGCAGGTCGGTTCCTATAATGGCTACGAAGAACGCGATTTAGATATGAATGATTATAGTGCTTCGCGTGACGTCGATGAAGGCGAAGACCTAGATATGGAGGTATCCTTGACGCCCTTGAAGCCTGAACGAACACGATCATTGCGCCGGCAGAAACCTCACACTGAAGATATTAATAGAGATGAGGAAGTTTTTAATGGTTTCAACACTTTTCCACCGAACAAACCTAGAAGGCAAAAGAAAGGTAAAAAATACTTGGAGGACAATGAACGTCCTGTGTACAACGTTGACAAAGAATTCAACGATGAAAACGACAGGAATGTTCTCAATAGAGATAATATCAACAATTTCGAGAGCTTACTTTACGAAAATCAAATGATGGAAGGAAAAACGCAACCTGACATCATGGTAGTGCACGATGTATTGCTTAATGATATTAACAGAAGAATGTATGAGAACGACGATTTTGAAATAGGCGATAATGCTTACGAAAATGAGGAAAATATTAAGAATTTATTGATGGAGCAACAGGGACCTCCGCCGCGAGCTCCTAGAAGAAAACGTAAACGAAGCTTGAGGGATGTTAGTGCTTCTTCGGAACCCGGTTCAATTATAAACGCTCAATTTCAAGACGATTGGCCAAGTTTATCACAATTGCCTGCTGACATCGACGACGAGGTATATATAGGCACATAATATTATATTTTGATTATCAGTTATCGAATGCATTTTTTCCAGGTCATAGTCCATCGAGTTCAGCACGAATATATTATACCTCTAGCCGAATCGGAACAATTTCCAAGCCCCACCCCTCCTCGTCGTACCAGATCCAGATCACTTACGTCCAGAGCCACCACCGCTCCTGATGAAGACAGAACTTCACACGGAGCAGAATCTTTAGTTTCAGACAACGACAAGGACTTATCAAGAAACATTCTGGATTTGCAAGACGCTTCAGGATATGCAGTTGTCAAACGAACGCCTTCAGTGCCAAAGAGGAGAAAGCGGTTTTCAAAGTCGGCGGAGACTAGACCTAGTTATCATTCTACACCCAGAATGAAAGAACCTCCCCCCAGGCCACCACCGAGGAGACAATCTGTACCGGATTTGAGAGCCGATTCTCTAGACGCCACACAGTATGAAGAAGTTGAAGATGATAAATTGATGATTGAGGATTTGAATTCTGGTGATGTTTTGAATAAAATGAAAGATAGACCATTACCTGCTCCTCCACGACCTCCGAGAGCAGCAAAAAGAAAAAAGAAGCCCAAACAAGATAACTTTGATGGTATCGACAGCATATCACCTTTACAAAAAGAACCAGAACATGAGTTAGGTTCAATTGATAACTTGGAGGATGAACTCTTACATCGACGGATGATACAAGACATTGCTAATAGAATGGTGAATGATGTTATAGAAAATGCTGAAATGCAAGTAGAACAAGCAGGTATCGATGAACATGAAATGTGGACACAGACTGATCCTTTACCTGATTGTTTTGTATGCGAAGATGATGGCATTCAACCTGATGAAGTTATATTAAAAGACGTTTGGAAAGACAAAATAGCATTACAAGACATTAATAATTTCTCTACCATCGAAAGGAATAAAGATGACTCGAGAACACATAAAGAAGATTCCAGTAGATCTTCACTGGATCCTTCTGATGTGGAACGAGCGCGTAAAATAGCTGACTCTGATAGTTTAACACGAGGCCTTCGTAGATTCAGAGAATCTTCTAGACAGCGAACATTTTCGAGTTCTAGAACGCCGTCAGAAAGAGCCATGTCTGAACACGCTTTATTGTTAGAACGAACTCTAGTCACACCGACAAAAGCTGAGGACACTGATTTATTAATGACGGAAGCTAAATTGCTTGTTCAACCTGTAGATGATGAATTAGATATTGATGATTTATTAGAAGAAAAAGCAAGAGAGGAGAAAAGGAAGCAAATGCATTTACAAACCGCAGAGGAAGAAGCTGTAGCCCAAATTCCAAATATAAAAGATATTTGTTTGCAAGAGACTGAAGCCATTTGTGAACTCGAAATTGTAGACGAACCACCTGTACCTATGAAAAGACGTGCTAGTTTGAAAAAATCTAGATCGATCCCCACACAAGAAACAGAACCCGAGCAAAAACTATCTGCAAGTGCAGAAGTAGATATAGCATTAATTAGAAGACAGCAAGATGTCCCAGTGGCATCCGCACCTACGTCAGATGTCGAGATATTAAAGACAAACCGTCTACAAGTTTCAAATTTGGATGTAGAGAATTTGAATGTGTCGCAACTCCAAGCAAACTCAATAAAAGTTTCAGAAGTGGATGGTGTAGCAATGCAAGTAAAAGAACTCAATTCCAAGTCAGGTAATTTAGTAGTTACTGGTATTGACATAGCTCCTACAATAATACAAGAAATAATAGGCAGGCTGACTCCTACCAATATGCACAATACAGCCCAAATTTCAACGCAAACAGATGAACCTTACGAGTCATCTAAAAAGCAACCAGAAAGTGTTCAAGAACATCTTGGTTTTCCACCGACTGCAATACAAATCGATCCAAGTCTTTACTTTAACCAAAATCCTTACATGCAACAAAGCTTATACTATCCTCATCCAGGATCTGTGCCACCGGCATCTTTTTACACTTTGAGACCACCAGATTTCTCAGAAGAAGAAGTTCAACAAGTCCAGCTCCCTAAACAGACACGAAGGAGACATGCACCTAAAAAAGAGTCTACATCTGAGGAAGAGCAACAAGAGACTGTGACAAGACACAGAAGAATGGGAACAAGGTCACCAGAGCCATCAATTCAAGAGATAACTGGGCAGCTGGTACAAGCATGCAGTAATTCAGTGCAAAGAAATGCTCGTCAAATTTGGAATGCTATTAAAACAAAAACAAACACAGAAGAAAGAAAGCGAGAAATTCAAATAGCTTTGATTGTCTTACTTGTATTCACAGCCGGATTGATAATGATTGCTCTGAGTGATAACAAAACTGTCCATCACCATCACTGGGAATTTTTTAATCCTCCTACATCTGATAAAAATGCCTAAAGTTTTATTTAGGCTTAAACAAGTATTTAATTTATTTGCTGATTGTGAACGTGTTGAATTTTTGCTTTTATATATTAAATAACATGTCTTAATCATTTCAATGTCATATATAGACATTTATTTATAATTCAGGTGTATCTTTTCATTTTACAATTTTGGTAAATATAAATATTTAGGCCTGAATTCTTTCTTTATACAAATATTATACTATTTATGTATAAACCTATATCATACCTTGGCAAAATAAATGATTTTTCTCACAAAAAATTAAGTTATCACAATTAAAACATTAAAAACAATGTTTTAATCAAATATATCCATAGATTCGTAAGTAACAATCTCTCTTGTGTCCTTGTGACTACCTTTTTGTGATTGATTGGCAGCTACAACAAATAAATTAAAAATAATTTAAATTAAGATCATACTATGGATATTCATGATTTGTTTGCATACCTAAAGTAGCCCATGCTGCTGAAGACGTGGCATCATTTATTGGTTCAATTTGAGGTTGTCTTCGTGCTAGTGAAACTTTTAAATCAATACCACCCACTTTTGCATTATCTAACTAAAATAATAATATATCATTTTTATTTTGTAATTTCTTAATTTCATGAATAACATTTGTTTATTTGTTATTTACCTCTTTAATAGCTCGTTCTGCAGATTCCACTTTATCAAATGTCACAAAACCACGACTAAAACATAAAAATAAATAATGTTATTGCTAGCCAGAGTTTACACATTAGATAAGATAGCAGATGCTTTTGCCAGATCAAATTCCATTCATTATTAAACTTACTGTTTTTCAATCTCCATTGAAATATAAAGTATATTCCCAAATTCGCTAAAATTCTTTTGCAAAAATTCTTGTGTTACTTGATAGCCGGATACATAAACAGTATTTCCTGTCCTCTTTGCAGTATTTTGAGAAGCATTTTGTACAGTTGAAGTAATCACATTACTGCTAACTGTTGGAGTACTTCCAACAGCAGCAGAGTCTTTTAAACCACGCTCATCCTTGTCACGCTCAGATACAAAGTGGTCATATAGATTTTTGGCTCTAGAAAAGATATGATATATATATATATATATATATATATATATATATATATATATATAATCATTTATTCTTGACAGTTCAATATTTACCTTGGAGTAGCTTTATCACTGAATTCATTTATGTTATTTGTATCAATATTAGACTGGAATGGCTGATATGAACTAACTTTTTCTGGTTGTATTCTCTTTCTCTCTTGACCTGTATATACATCAAAATATATGAAAACTTCATTCATATCAATATATATTATCTATCTAATAATAACCTCTCGGTCTTTTAAATATTAATTGTGCAGGTTTTTGACTGGGTTTGGGAATTGCAGGTATAGCTCCACTTTTTATTAATTTCCTAGCAACCTCTTTAGCATCTCTTGCATCTGCCGGTCTTTTTGGTAACACAGGTTTTTCAGGTTCAGGTTTAGGAGCTTTTAAAGCTTGTAAAGCTTTTTTCTATAAATGTTATGCAATATTTAATTGAGATCAAAATATAAGCTTATCAAATACATAAACTTATGAAGGACAAAATATAAATGATTAAACTTAGTTCATCTCTAATACAAAATTATATTTATATCAACTGTCTGTTATTTAAAATGAAAAATATCTCATTGTTTAAATAAATTAATATTACTTAAGAAATTTATGGTTTGATCTCATAATAATTTACCTTTTTCTTCAATTTTTGATATTTTGCTTGTAGCATATGCTCTTCTTCAGTAAGATTGGATGGAAAATGTATGTAAACAGTCTTCATATTATATAATATTAATTAAAATTAATATTTATCTACCTTTTTCTTATTTTTTTCTATTTATTATATTTTTCTGCATTCGTACCCTAAGTTTGACAGTCGTGTTAAATAATTGAACTTATCTGCAAAAATCAGGGCATGAAACCGTGAAAATGTATAACATGTTTTTGCTCTCTTCTCTTTTCTATGCTTGTAATCCCTCTTGTAATTCTTGTCAATAATGCTTGTTATTATTATTATTATCTTATTATTTCTTATAATGTTATTTTCTTATATTTATTATTATCTATCACTTATTGTTTTGATTCCACTTTTTTATTTATTTTATTTATTAATTTGCTTTATATGCTTTTATTTTATATTAAATCATCATACTACGGATATCATTTTAATTTAAATTCTATCCTTTGTAATCTTATTTATTTAAATTTATGTTATTGTTTATTATTATTAGTAGATGTTAAATTATTTAACAGTTGTAATAAATATTGTAATTAAAAAAAAATGCTTGCCTTTTAATATTTCAAGTCAAAAATTCGTCGATATATATCCATGCTTTTTTACTCAAATCAAACGTCTCAAAAACACACACTTTTTGTCTAGGTGGTTATTTACTATCAAACTTTAAGAAACAGAAAACAAAGTACTCTCGGGAATCAAATCAAAGTATTCACGGTGCCCTTGTTCAATAACATTCTGCATAAACCGTTAACAATTATTGACCATGAATATACTCATAGATTAGCATACTCAATAAGCATCTTTCAGATCCCATATAATTCAAAGTATATACTCATATCGTTTAGGATTATGACCATCGACCATAGATAAATAAACCTAAACCCTGCACAATATATTCATTATGAATGCCAATGCATAGACCTTAAAATACAAATGTATTAAGGTCTATGCCATGAATATTATCATATTCTAATATTGTCTAGGGTCTATACTGCCATAACAATATATTATATTCCAATATTGTCCACGATGACTGTTGTTTTTAATTAGTACGATCATATTTATGGTTTCATCAGAAAGCTGATGTCAAATCATAATTTTTAACACAATTTAATGCTATTGCTTAATTGCGAATTTCGTTTTAATTCACAACTCAATAATCAGTCTCATAAAACAAGTACAAAATAAACATAATAGAAAAACTATTTAGTATTTAATAGAAAAACCTGAAAGATAACTTACTAACAAGAAGAAAACGATTTGTAATATACATAATATCTAATAATTTATTTCAAAACACAAACACATCTTAAGCATACTGCAAACATACAAAAACATTAAAATTAAGTGAGAAATTCTAATAAAAATTACCCTTTTCTGCATAATCTTTGTTGTCATCAAATTACATGCCCCCCTTTTGGATTTTTTGCTATATTTTATTTGCTTTATAAAAAATATAGTATACATCAGCTAGCATGTACATAACATTTCCTTTGTACAATATTTATCATTAAACAAAATCTTTTTTGATAAAACAAAAAAGGAAATAATTGTTTACTTCGCAATCACAGATCAAAATTCACAAATCACAATCATTACAAGTTGAAGAGGCATTTAATTGATTGTTCTTCAAATTAATTCTAAAGTGAGAGCACTTTTTAAAATATACAATTACACACAATCTATTATTGAGTATAGCTTGTGTCATACTTAATAAAATATGCTTTTAGTTTAACTTTCATAAACCAACAGTGATAAAATTTAACTTTCATCTTTAACTTGAGCAGACACATGGTCTGGTTTTTCTCCTTTGGCATGTCTTTCCCACATTTTAGAATATAGCATTTCCATACCTTGCGCATACTTTTTACAATCAAACAAAGGGCTCGTCATTCGTGCCGTCCACACTTTTGCACGCATAGCTCTCAAACTGAAAAAATAAAATAGAATGAAATTAGTAACTAATATCAAATATAATGTAATGGAAAAGAATTATTCTTTTCTCAAACGTTACTCACTATTCTCTGTCAGTGCCTAATTTAATTGCTATATCTTGATAGTCCTGCCTAGTCCTGGCAATTAATTCTGGACAACCCAAAGTTGCAAGTTGCGAAGCAGCTACTCTAGAAGCTAATGTTTCTCCCGGAAGCGTTACTACAGGTGTACCAGTCCACAAAACATCCATTGAAGTGGTATGGCCATTACAAAGCGGAGTATCCAAACATACATCTGCGAGTTGACCACGTCTCACATGCTCTTCTTTAGCAGCCACATTTGAGAATATTATTCTACCAGGAGGAAGTCCTAAGAAAATTTGAATATTTTTAAATATTTGTTATAGACAGTTCATTTTGTTTAGTTTAGACATTTTTCACTTACCTAATTGGTTTGCTTGTGCCAAAAGATTAGGTTCTCCAACTGCTGGGAAACGCAATAACCACAAAACTGCATTTGGAACTTTTTTCAAAACATTTACCCACATATGTAAAGTAGCTGGATCAATTTTGTACAACTGATTGAAATTGCAATAAACAACAGCATCATCAGGTAATCCATACTGTTGTCTGGTAGTAATAACAATGGATTGCGGCACTTCTTCCCCGGTTGCTGCTTTGTTGTTAGTTTGTGTAGTTGCTAAGCCATTCTGAACGACCACGCCATTGACTGATGTTTGAACATGACCGGAAGCAATCATAGTTTCTATATGTGTTGTTGTAGGTAACTCTGCCACTTTTAAAGATATTTCAACAGGCTTGGCAGCCTGAATTACTTCCCTAATTTCCTTCACATCAGTATTTTCAACCAGTGGTGATAGATCAGTAGCATTTATCACTGCAACATTATCAGCAACAGAATTTGATCCATGGTTCTTGTCGCTGACAATCAAACGTTCTTGCAGATGAGGGAACATTTGTTTATGATCACCAACAAAATAAGTGTATGGCATGTAAGCTAACTTTTCGCTATACTGATCAGCTAACTCAAGAGGGGACGTAACTGCATCAGTGATTAAGTAATCCATAAAACTTGCACCACTTGTGCCAGGGTAACCCAGCCACATAACCTTCAAAATGATAAATTTATAATTAAAATATTTAAATATAAATAAAATACCAGGTAAATAAGCTATTACACATGTATTATTTTTACCTGTATTGCTGCTGGTCTTAAAGCAAAAATTTCATTTCTAGCTCCTTTGGTGTAACCATTCATATTAACCAGAACATGAATTCCATCAGCATTGATCCTGTCAGCAGCCTTCCCATTGCACATGACTTGTGACAGATCGATGAAATGTTCAGCCTCTCTGGCAATCTTAGCCCGGAATGTAGTTCCATCGTCTGGGCTTAAAGCATAACAGAATACTTCAACCTTGGTTTTATCATGTAGACCGGGAACAGATTGCATCAGATGAGACGTGGGATGGTTACCAAAATCACTGCTGACATAACCAATTTTCAAACGGCCCCTTAACTCCATAGGGTACTTATAAGGAGGTTTATGCAAAACATGAATTTTTTCCAAACACAAATTGGCATGCCTTGCAGCTATAGCCTTACGGAATTCATGAGATAAAGGATAAAGCATGGAATGATGAGGATGGACTGAGGGTAAACGATTTTTATCCAATTGTTCAGCTACAATGCTCACTAGTTTTTTCATGCGAGCCTCATAATCAGTCCAATCGCAAACTATTTGTAAACAATGTGCCAAGTTGCAGTAAGCATCAGGAAAATCAGGCTTCAGCTTCAAAGCAGTTCTATAACTCTGAATAGCTTCAGGAATGTTACCAGAGTCTTTATGGATGCTAGCTAAGTTACTATGAGCATCAGCAAATGCTGGATTGATCTGTATTGCTCGGGTATAACACTGCAAGGCTCCTGATACATCTTGCATTTCTTTCAAAGTGTTACCCATATTCGAATAAGCGTCCGCAAATGTGGGCTGTATACGAATAGCTTCTTTATAATGCATTAGAGCTTCATTTAATTTGCCTTGCTGTTGCAAAACTGAAGCCAAATTTGAATGGGCTGCTGCAAATTCTGGAAAAACTTCTAAGGCTTTGAGATACAACCGAGTTGCTTCTTCAATATAACCTTGTTCGCGCTTTATATTAGCCAGATTGTTCAAAGAATCAGCATGCGATGGGCATAAGCGCAGTGCCGTATTGTAGCATTCTTCAGCATCAGCAACCTACAACCAATATGATAAATTGGTGTATTTTCCAAAAATTACATGTAGCACCAAAGCCAAGCGGCTACCCTTACCTGTCCTTTTTCCTTGAGTGCATTAGCCAAATTGCAATAGGCATCAGGAAAGTTTGGTTGCAGTTCGATAGCCCTCCGATAAGTATCAATAGCCAAATCAATGAGCCCCTGCTCATAATAAACACATGCCAGATTTCCATGCACCACTGCATTGTTTGGGGATAAATTCAGGGCTCGCAAATAGGCTGCTACAGCTCTGGTAAAAAAATATTTCCAGAATAAGTAAAACATGGTCGAAAATGATAAACAATTCAATTATTTTAAAATTATGCAATCGATGTTTCTATTATTAAAAAATCTTACTTTCTCTTTACATAATTTGTGAATCTCTGAATGCAGTTGCACATTTCCGTTTAAGACAATAAAATTAATTATCAATAATCTGTTATGTAATTTGCTGTGAGCCAATTTAGAAATCAAAATTCGAACTGTGCTGTGAGCATAATAAAATATTCACTAGCATTCGTTCATAGCAGTATTAAACAAATTATTAATAATTCAAAATGAAATTTCATGTATTTGTATAACAATATAAAATGTACACAATGACTCGTACGTCATTATATAAACAGCATACCATATTGTACATTTTCGATATATATATATATATATATATATATATATATATATATATAGAAATGGTTGAATATCATTATAAATCTTATACAATATCAAATTACCAATTAACATTATTATTATTACGAATCCCGTCGTGAAAACAAAATATTTTCCAGAATTCTTATCTCGAGATTAAGAATTCGCTGTTTGTTTATATAATGATATTATGCAAAATATATTATTCGAAACGTGTGCAAGGCGAGAAATGTTTAGTATTTGTTTAAGTAGTAAAGCACATTTTATCGCTGTTAATCGCAATATACGTTTAGGAACAATTTGTTTTCAAAAAGGCAAAATATTTTCGCCATTACTAAATAATTCCGAGAACGAATGAAGTACGTTCCTAAACGTTGAGGTATAAAAAAACTTAATATATAATAGCAATTTATTATTAATGGCGCTTTGCCCGCTGCAGATTATTTGTGCCAGAGCACATTTTCTCACATATTGTATCCTTGTTAACTTTGTTGTCCAAATATCGAAATTGAACATTATTGCATATCTTCATTGATTTGAAGGTTTCTGAACATTTTGGGAATTCCGTAGAAAAAATGTGCGTGTATGTATGCATGGATACAATTTTTCGTCCACGTTTTCGAGCGCAAGAATCAACCTATTTCAATGGTTAAAAAAACATTCGATTCCTATTGATGGGGAGATGTGCTGAAAAGTTTTAGCAGAGTTCACAAAATAAAAGTCGAGTATTTGAGAGAACGAAGTATCCAATTTGAATCATCCAAAAAACATTTAATTCGTAATGATGGAGAGAAGTGGTGGTTAGTTTTTGGCTAAGGCAGGTCCAGCCGTATCGCAGATACGAAAAAAATTTATGTTTGTGTTGACGAAACGATTATTTTAGGGAAAGAAAAAAACATTTTTTTTAATTTTCAAAAAAAATTTTGAATATCGAAAGTAATTCAAAATTTCAAAATTTTAATTTAGTACAGAAAGTTCCTGCAATTTGCCTCAAAGCACGATTCCATACACCACTAGTTTCTATATCACTTTATACTTGTCAGTACGGCTATCAATTCACTGTAATGTTTCATAAGGCAAATTAGACACAGTTTATGTATGAAAATAATTAAAAGTTCATGTCCTGTTCGCACGAATATGAAAAAGCGATCAATACTTTATTAATTATTCAGTCGAATACATAGAATAACCATCGAGTATCCTATTGCAATACTGTTTGCATTTCCATTGGCAATTTGTTCATTTTGTTTTTTATCGGAAAGACACGAAAAAAAATCCACGTTTTTCTAAAATATTTTTTGGTCACAAACGAATCAATATAAGCCTTTACTTACAAGGATTGCGTCAAGTCTATTGTAATTATTTTTTACTTGACAAATTGAATTTGATAATGTAAATCCGAAACATGCTCTTTTTGGAACACGGCCAATGGAAACGGTTCAAGTCAATCAGGAATAATTCAATGACATCTGAAAAAGTATCTCCAAAAATAACTAATCCATTTTCAGTCATGACATGGTTCAAAATTCTGCATTTAACATGGTGAATTTAACAAATTTGCAATATCATGACATGCATCGGTAAATTTTCCAATAATAAACGATCGATTATGCAATAATTAATATAGAGACCAATTAAATTGTGATGTTTTGGCGACAACCAATTACTAATTAATGGAACTGTTCGGCCAATTACTGGCTCACTCTATCGCAGTTCCGTATCTAGAGAATAATTGAAACATAATCGGTAAAAGCATTTGCACTCGTAAGAAGGGTTTTTGGGATTCTGTGCACCAAGTATAATATACATACATACATACACACACATATATATATATAATATATATATATATATATATATATATATATATAAATATTAATGTAAATAATATAAGTTAATGTTTTAAATTTTACTAATAAGTAGTTTACCTTCGCATATTCAAAGTTAATCAGTTAAGTCATAAAGGATTGAGAAACACCGATTACCTACAATTTTTTAATACTGCAAATAATTTATCATTGCTAACCTTTTAATTTGATTTTTCAGACAATCCAAGCATCCCTTCGACCCGTCCTGCTTGCTGGTCGTCTCGGCAACTTTTGGATCGACGGGATGCTTTATATTAACAACTGTATAAATAACGACACACTGGTATTCCATTTTCCCCACAAGTCAAGATTATTTTTAAATAAATAAAGAAATGCTATATTGTAATTTGGCAACAATTCGGACGTGGCATTATTCTCGTATTGTCGATGAGAAGGTTTGTGTTTATAATTTAGACCCGTATTAGAGAAATTCGTTTAGTTTTACCACGATTTTGGGTAAGAGAACACACACGTTAGTTAATGTTATCCGACAGAAAATGTCGGTTTGGATTTGATAAAATTTGTTATTGTACACCACGACATGTTTTTGCACATTTATAAACATTTGGACTATATTATTTTAATACATCAGAAAAATTAACACATTCAATAATACATATTTTATAAGTCAGTCCCAAAAATGTTGTGCATACATATTTTTTGATACCTGGAATGATCACATATTTTATATAAAATCACACACTATAAAACATCTTACTAACTCTTAAAAATAGTGAGCATCTAATTTTTTATTACTAAAAACGATTACTTAAGTTTTATTCATTTTTAAAAGGAAATACTGAAGTCCGGTGTCAGTAACGGAGAGAACACGTGCGATTATTTGATATTCTGACAGAGTTACGACAACGTTCTAAAATTGTACGTGGGCGCCCAAAATAAATGCCGCCAAACAGTCAAGACATCATCATGGTGTCCTTGGGTGAAAATCAAAGCCGAAACAAGCTATTAAAAGAATCTGTCGCTAACACCTCGATAATCAAGATAATTCAAAGGATAATAGAAGGAATGATCAGGATCATACATCTGCACACGAGCAAAATTAATGGAACTTTCACATCGGGAAAGCGTCTTGATATGTGGGCGTACACATTTTTACCACTTTTAATGATTATTTACCACTTAAAAAAATGATAAATGAATAAACACTTCAGTTTTTTCTTCCTATATTATCAAAGAATGTGCATTACATCAACGATTTTGTTAGTACAAGTTTATTTTTAATTCAAACAATTTCTATAATGTTTACACGAACACATTTCAAAATTTCATAACGAAATTGTATATCTCTTCGTTTGGAAGAACGCCAAGATGATGTCGTAAATTTTCAATATAAATTGATAAATTATTACTGTAATTAATGATTTAAAGCATAAGTCTGACTATCAAATAGTTATAATTAATACTTACAAAACAGTTTATACGAATATTTTGTATTACATTTAATTATAATTAATTATAATAATCAGTCTAATACAAGGACGGCTTGTTACATCCATGAACATTTAATTAGTTTGTATATAAAGGATTTAGATTTTATAAAAAAGGACGTTTCTATACACACTACACGTAAATAATTCGTGTTCGACACTTTAATATTAATGCACGATAAAAATGTATATATGTTTCGTAACTCGTACTACGTTTTTTTTTTAAATTTCTTTAGAATAGTGAGTTTTTTTTAGTTAATTTTTGGAAGTACAATCTCAAAGAATTAATTTAGAAGAAGTATCTAAAAGAGAAGAAAGGACAGAGGAATGTTTTGTTGTAAAAAGTTTAGTATCTACGAAGTGCGTTTTTAGTGCTACGTTCTACGGACTACTAAAGCCAACGTAGAAGCGAAAGCCCTACGATCCAGGGATGCGGACCGATGAGATCTGCACGAAAGCTGGAAGGGATATAAAGCACATTTTGTTTAATATTAGAAGGCTTATTCAAACTCTTGAACATTTTCTCATTTTCTCTAAGCTATGAAAAGGCTTAAGATACGATAACCTATATAATACGCGTCCATAATATAAAATGCAATTTTACCGTATCTTAAATACACAGTTCGGAGCCTTAAATTCAAGTCCAAAGCATATAAATAACTAAATCCAAAATTAGGTAGTGGTAAATTAAAATCGCATTTTCATCCTCTAATGATTTACTGTTGGTTTTGACCAACTGTATTATTTCTAGTCAATATTGAATTAACACATTTGAATATAATTTGTCCATTAAAGATATGCATATTGAGTCATACATATTGAATTAAAATGGCCTTAAAAGATGAAAGTGTTAATACAATGTTAAATATTAAATAAAATATATAATATATTTTTAAAAATCTGTGAATTTGATCCATCAAACAGAATTTTCAATCAATATTCCCTCCGCAGAAAGTTTATCTCGCCGGTTAACCAACTTGCACAGTGTCGTAATCGACCATGCGCACCAGGACGCATCCTGCATCCTGTTCGCTCTTTAAAAAGAATTCTGGGCTCGACAGAGAGGGCAATAAAATAATAATATTTGTCTGTAACATATATGCTGAAGCCTACGACCCCTAAGGGAGCAAAAATAGCGAAAAAAGAACATCATATTAAAAGAGGGTAATGATTTTATAAATAATCTATTATATTTCTTTGACGCAAATGAAAGAATTTTAAATGAATAAAACAAAATTCAATGCCTTACGTTCGGATAACATATAACGCCACATTGAAACAGACATCATAATGATAAAAGTTAGAAAACACATCACAGCTTATATTAAAACAGTTTTTATATGTATGCATTATCACTTCACCGTAATGAATATAATTAAAAGATATTAAATTTGTTTAAATTTAAGTTTTAATTAAATATTGCAGTGTCGTAAGTTACACTGCAACGCATCTCAAAAAATCAGTTTAGAACATCATTTTTTTTTATTAAGATACATATAAAATAAATTATAAGTTTAATATCTCCCTTCCGCCTTTTTGTATTATAAACCAAGAGCAAAAAGCGAATGAGATATTTGACAACCTAATATATAGACAAACTGTTTGGGGTAGTTAAAAGGTTAACAGTTGTTAATTTTTAACAATTAATTTTCGATGAAAAAATATTGATATTAGTTCGTAATCAATTTCTATGCGTCGTTAATCATTTTGTTGCCATTAGTTATTATTATATAATAATAACTTTTAAGTGTTTCCAACATGGACTGTTGCCAAATAAATGTATGCAACCGAAACTTCTCGGACAAACACAAAAAACACTTCCGATAATATTCCAAACAATAATGATTCTAGAGTAAAAAATTATGTATGGAATCGAAATGTACAAATTGCATTCTACAAATAGATCAAGGCATAAATATAAATAACAAAATCTATATATAACTCTGTCTCTAATATATTCAGATCGAAATTGAATAATACATAAGATGTACGAGCAATTTTTCAAGAAATAGAGGCTTCGGAAAAATATTTTTCGCATTAAGGAAACTGGCGCAAAAAGATTTGAATTGGATTATATTTAATGCATGAGTCGATTCAGGTCTTATTAAAATTAAAAAAAAACTTTTTAGAGTCGAATAAAACAAGGTTAAAAGCGAAACATTGTTAATTATACGTTTCGCCACTTGATGTGTGTCATCATTCAGTAAATCTAAAATACATCAAGTGTCGTAAATCTTTTTATAATTTGACTAATGAGGTGCTAATTATGTATATATATATATATATATATATATATATATATATATGTGTGTGTGTGTAAATATATACGTGAATTTGTGTTCATATGCGTTATATGTAAATATATAAAAATATGCATATATATAAGCAATGGAAAATTATAGGAAAATACATAAAAACAACCCACTCACCAAGAGGGCCGCAGTGAAAACATGGAAAATGTAGGAAAATGTGTATCTGCAGATGACAGCATTAGATAATATGTTGTTTACCTAAGGTATTTATCATGCAAATTCGTATTCTATAAATAGAGTAAATAGAATTGTATACTACGTACATAATTACATACAAACTTCTTAGTGTGAAAAATTGTTTATAAATTTAACATCACGTTCAAATAAAATTAAAAGAATGACATTATCGAATGCATATTTGAGTTCAAAGTTGTTGAATACAATTGATATAAAGCTATTTATACTTAAAACAATTCAAGTTGGAAAGCCTTTCGCGTGCTTTTGTAAGTAGTTTAATTACCATTATAAAATAATTAATGATCATTTACGATCGTTTTTTATAGCAGTTGTAAGAATGTTCTTAAGCATATGTCTCGAAATTCATTTTCGCAGACACGCAGCAATGACCGGGTAACTCCTACATAAAATCAATACCATCATCTTGTTCGCCGAGCTTCTAAGTGTTCGAGAGAGGAATACGAAATCGTGTTTTTGATAAGATTAATTACCTTCATAATATCTTAATTAGCAAACTGATATATTAGGATGATTAATTAGATACACAGTCGAAAATAACTGACAGAAATATACATATAGGATAAGATGTAAATTGAGTACTGAACCCTGAATAGACAGGTTTAAGACGACAGATAGCATTCATAACAGCTTTTACCATTTACTGCCGTTATAAATATAAAAAATAAAAAAATACAAAAAAGTAAAATATGTTTGTGTAATTTGATCATTATATATTCGATAATCGCGTCGAGAATAATAGGATTTTAAT